AAAAAAAAAACCTATCGTTTCTGTAACCTACGAAAATGAAAGGATTTCAATGAAAAAACAGCTTAACTTACTTAAAATGTGTGTTACGTCTCTCCTGTGTGGTCCACGGGCCGATTTATGGCCGTTTTATTTATTTATTTATTTATTTATTTATTTATTTATTTATTTTTGAGAATCAGCGAGCTCCTACGGACGTAAGCGTCTTTGTAAAACTATGATCTCTTGTTATGACAACATGAATTTTCTTTTCAGCTTTTGTTGGCTCACTAGCTTTGGGCATGACATGGCTTGCCAGTCCACTGCCTGGCTATCTCTGTGATCGCGTTGGCTGTCGCGTCACAAACTTCATTGGAGGCACCCTGTGCGTGACGGGCTTGGTGCTGACGTCATTTTCTCACAGCCTTAATGTGATGTATTTCACCCACAGCCTGGTATTTGGTTTTGGAGTATGTTTTATCTATAACTGCAGTTATCTAGTGATTGCACAGTACTTTAAAGAAAACTTGTCCATGGCAACGGGCATTGTAGCGTTGGGGGCAAGTGTGGGTGTGCTATTCACAGGTCCATTGCTTCAAGTTCTTTTGGACTTATTTGGATGGAGAGGCACGTACAGAGTGGTGGCTGCATGTTTCACTCTTGTCTGCATTCTGAGTTTAACATACAACCCCAACGTACAAAAAATAACACATACCAAACTTCTTAGCAGCAGTGAGGATCCTGCCAGCGATCAACGAAGTGGCATTTCGCTCTACTGCAGCGTGTGGGCGTTTCCTACTTTTGCTGCATCCGTTATGTCTTTCATGTTTGGGAGTCTTGGGATGTATATTCCATACATCTATCTGGTTAGTTTTCTGCCTGTTTTTCCTATATTTGAACTCTATTTTACGGCCACCTCGTTGTTGTGACAACCTCATTAAGGCGACCACCTTTTTCTCGTCCCCTACAAAAGTCCAGTCACTCCCACTCTCATATAGCCCGTCGAATGCCTACCACTGCTACTACTACTACCACTACCACTACCACTACCACTACCATTACCACTACCACTACCACTACCACTACCACTACCACTACCACTACCACTACTACTACCACTACTATGATGAGTCCAATTCGGTCTGTAATCATACGAGTAATTAACAACATAGCGGAAGTCTGATTTGTTTAAGACTACAGACTGAATTGGGCGACACGAAGTTCTGTTACCAATAAATCATACCACTGCCACTGCCACTGCCACTGCTACTACTACTACTACTACTACTACTACTATGATGAGTCCAATTCGGTCTGTAATCATACGAGTAATTAACAACATAGCGGGAGTCTGATTTGTTTAAGACTACAGACTGAATTAGACGACACGAAGTTCTGTTACCAATTAATCATAACTATAAAAAATTGGTGATATTTTAAGCTTTTTTAAAACTTAAAACACAAGAAATTCCAAGTGTTTTTTTTGCTATCTGTGAAAAAAAGCCATTTAAGTGCGCGCGTGCGATGGCGCGTACTGTCCAATTACAGATATGACGCGTACCGCACTGTCATATTAGTGCTGAAATCAGGACAGTTGATAGCCAATCAGATTTGAGAATTTTTTTATAGTTATGATTAACATTTAAATTTAGCCATTTTTAGGAGCCCATTACCTTGCGCTATTAATTTCCAGTCACTTCATTGGAAGCCCGGGGTAGTTACTACCATATATTGTGTATATATTTTAGCTGATATTTGGGTACCCAATCTAAGGATCACACTGGAAACACGATGCCAAAAAAGGCAAAAATGTTACCCTATTAAAGGATCGAAACCCTCAAAAACCATCCCCTATTGGATGGCACATACCTGTCTAGCCCAAACATGGCAGTTAAACTGCGATTACCCCTGAAATGGTCATTCGTTCATTTAGATTTGTATTCTTGCAGTCCAAATCATCTTCATTATATAGACTAAAAGTGCTGATTATGTTCATAGGTTAAGTATTCCGAGGATAACGGAATAACCGCACAGGCTGCGTCACGCCTGTTTATCTTTATTGGCCTTGCTTCATCCCTCGGAAGGATCATAACAGGAAAGTTGTGCAACAACAAGAAAGTAAATCCGGTTTTTATTCACCAAGCATCCATGCTCTTGGCTTCTCTATCCGCCTTTTTGCTCCAGTTTGCCACCAAATACGGATACTTAATTGTCTTCAGTATTGTATATGGCTTCAGTGATGGAGTTTTTATAGCAAGTCAGTGTTTTATTCTTTTGAGCTGTGTGGATGCAAAAAGAACAACAGCGTCCTTCTGTATCAATAACGTTCTTTATTCATTTACTGCGGCCGCCGGTGGGCCCATTGCTGGTGAGTTAGGTCCTATTCCTTTTATATGAAAATAAGTTTCTATTCTAGTTACTGTAATGCAAATCGTGAAACTCAATGGTTGTGTTCCAGACCGTCGTTTTAGGAAGGCTTCAAGCCACTAGGAAATAGATCCCTAGACTTTCAAAAAAGTCCTTCGTCGGATTTCATATGGCGCGGGACGACCTCTCGCGATTTCGTAGCTCGCGGTCGGCCGCTTCGCGGCCAAACAAGGCTCGCTAAACTCGCCTAGAGGTCGACTTGTAGCAAGTCTAATAGATCCCTTGAGATAGTATGTTTCGTGTTACCATTTTAGACCACAAAATGCATGCTTACAAGGTAATTTCCTTTTTGTCTTTTTATGAATTCTGCATACATACGTAGCTGCATAGGACGACCTGAAATAGTTCTTTAGGGTAGTATCATATTGTCTGAAATGGATTTAAAGCAAACTATACAAGCTAATTAACAATTATTCCTCGAGCCCGAATGGGCTCTGAGTCAATAGCCCATGAGGCCGAAGGCCGAATGGGCTATTGACTCCGAGGCCTTGAGGGCCATGAGGACGAGCGGAATAATTGTTTTAGTAAAATCCAACTAGTTGGTCAAAAATATCGAGAATAAAAAAATTTTAGCTAGTTAAAGCTAGACTTTAATCCTTTTTTGCCGCCAAAAAGCCCGCGCTTTTCGCTACGAGCTAGTGGGCTATAACATAGAGCCTAGTAGTAGCTCAACCAATCAGAACGCAGCATTGATAATAGACAACTAGTTGGATTTTACTTAAAAGTTATAGTTACTGTTGAGGTACGTTGTTTTCTATCAACCAGGTACTTCCATATCCTTGGTACTTACTACCTAGGCCTGGTTGTCAGAAGAAAAAATTAGTATAACTATTTTTGTCTCTTTCCCCCTCAGGCTTGATAGCAGACCAAACAGAAAGCTATGTTTATTCATTTTACATGACTGGTGCTGTTCTTCTGATTGCATTCCTTATCCCGATGGTTTTAATTCCTATAAGTCATACTAAGGCCAGAGTTCGTTATCAAGGCTACAGCAAAGAACAAAACACGGGCGCGGCCAAGGCATAATGAAAATGGTCTGAATCTGAGCAATATCAATCAAACCAGTCCACGTACAGGCTACTACAAAAGGTATCACCAGCGCTATCATTAAATCCCTTTAAGGCTTTCGTTATCAGTAGTTACAATAGTCATCAGTTGTTACAATAGTTAAGTCAAGATTAATCTACAAGCACGGACTAGGAGGGATTGTATCAGATAGATACGTTTCGAAAGACAGGTTATTATATTGCAAGCATGGGTGATCTGTGATTACCCAAAAGGAAGTATTTTGCTCTTCCCCTCCGGCGGACTAAATGCTGATTGTTATGATTTCATCGTCGGATCCTATTAAATAATGCTCTCGAAGACCAAATCTACAGAAGAAAATTAAAGACTCAATGAAATAAAGATTCAGATTCAACTTTCGGTCTTTCTAATATCTGAGTTAAAAAAGGAGGTCTGGGAAAAGTAGTTCTTGGATTTGAATATATGATTCTTTAACCATCAAAGTTTAGTTATAATCATGTGTGGCCAGAGCATCCTTCTAAAAATATACCTAAAAAAATGCCTTTGTGTGCTGTAAGCTAAAACAAGGTGTTTGGCCGAGCCAGTCAAGTCTGAGGCTTGACCTGCCACTTTTAAAGAGCTTAAGCAACGACGACGGTGAGGCCGGGCTACGAAAACTTCACTTAAAAAGTGAAGTCTGCCTCAAACTTTATCGCACTTATTCCATCTTGTTTAATTCGTAAAATGTTGGCAAATTTCTTTGGAGGTGAATCCTAAAGGATTGCATCAAAGTTCGGGGAAAGAAAAAGGAAACGGCTGTTGTGTTGAGTTCCCGTCGTCGACAAACGTGAAATTAGGCACGTCACGTTGTAGTCTTGCAACGACGGGCTAGGAAGTGTAAAAGCGTGGATGCACGTGCAAAGTTGTTGCCGTTTTGCCTATCTAAACCTATTGCTGTTTTGCCTTTCTCCTAGCCGTCGCCGTCGTCGTTGCTTAAGCTACCTAATGTCAGAAATTACTCACCCAGTGTAAGGGAATCCAAAACAGTCTTGGAATATAGATTCCACGCCGTGGATTTTGGATTCCAGAGACTGGATTCCAGTCTTTGTCGGTGGAACTTGAATTCTGAATTCCAAACTTACACTATAAGATAACGAGGAAGATACTTATGTTGACACGCCTACTTTGATTAATAAACTAAGCAAGATGACAAGAAATGTAAAATAAGTTTCTAATAACTTCAGTCATTTATATAGATCTATCTTCCTTTTCCTTTCCCCTTCTTAATTTTCTTCCTAGTTATAAATTTCTTTATATTTTCCTCCGCTCACCTCGATTAGCCAAGCTATTTGCGAGCAGAGAATGTTTGTGTATATATATATTTGTTTTAATTTAGCTGATTTAATTTAATTTGTAACTTCTGAAGGTCAATAAACTTCAAACTCCTAACTTCTTAGTACAACAGGATTGCTTGAGCTGTATTCCGGATTCCAAAGTCCAAGATTCCGGATTCTAAAAGCAAAATGTTCCAAATTCCGGAATTTGTGGCACAAGCAAAATTACCCGCATTCCGGAATTTGGGTTCTCATACGTAGGGTGAAATTACGAATCCTTGCGAATGGTATTAATAGTGATACACTGAAAAAAGGAGAAAAAAAAAACCTTTAAACCGAAATAAAAAGTGCGCACATAGGGCATGTGGCATTATTTGTATGAAGTCCAGCCAACCAGAAACGAAATTAAATTTCCTATTATAGTTGTCCTACCACCGTGACAATCCGGTTGTAACCTGAATGAAATCGCCTGATATTCTGAATCCTCGAAAAACTTGCTAACGTGCCGCAGAACGTTCGCAAAACGTTTTTTATTACTCGACGAGAAAAAGAGGTTTGTTTGCAATCAGGCCTTGAGTCGAGTCTCTGGCGGAATATATTCAGACCAAACGTAAAATGCAGACAAACGGAGAGCAAGATCGTGATCGGCACGAGAGACTTGGTAAATTATGGAGGTGTTTCAGAAACAAGCATCATCAAGACAGTGCGTGGTCGTGGGTTGTGTGTACTGCAGCAGCGATTTGCAATGCTCTTAACCTTGGCTTTGTTCTTAGCTTCGGTGTTCTGTTCCCTATATTGCTGGACTATTTCAATGAGACAAGGGAAAGAACTGGTGAGTAGAAAGAATATTTTTTTCTTCTATTAGTTTGTTATACCTAGAACACTATCCGGGAAGAATTTACCTTTTTGAAAGAATGTGCTAGTGCTTAAACCTGTGCATCGCAGATGCATATTTCTCGTAATTCTTTCTTTCTGTCCTCATAAATTTTTCACTTTTTTATTACTTACCCCGGTGAGTCTGTCGTAATAATTATATTTGTCATCAACATTATGTAAAACACTAAAACACTCGATCTATATTCAATCATTTTTAGCTTCATTCCCTGTCTTACATTATTCAGATCTAAAGATTTAATTTTATTTTATATGTCCTGTGTTACGCAACTATGGAATTTTAAGTAAAACAACTACCGGCGTCTGATCATGAGGACAAAACCACAAACAAAAGTATTTTTAACATGCAGACTCCGATGCCCTTTACTGATACTTTTGTTCACTTCTCTACATTTGTTTGCAAATCACCTTGATCGATGATCAATCGTTTTTGGTGGGGAAAAGTGAAATGAAATATTTTCGTTCTCTTGTTTTTCAGTTCGTGGGTTTCCACGCACGTGCAGTGACCTGAATCACCCCAGAGCTACAAAATGTAGCTTGGTAATTCAACATTTTCAAAGATGTTTTCACAGACAAGCTTTAATTCTTTTCCAATGTGTCGTTTTAAATAGGTCTCAACCTCCTTTTGCTACGATTTAGCGGTGATTTTTTGTTTTCTTGGATTTTTCACGCACGTGATCTGAATGACCCCAGAGCTACAAAATCAACAACTTCAAAAGTGTTTTCACAGACTAGCTTTGACGTTTTAGGTGGGTCTCAACCTCCTTTTACTACGACTTAGCAGTAATTTTTAAATTCTTGCAGGCTTCTTCTTTCTCCACGGTATTACACGTTAAAACATTAACAATCTCTATCTGAAATTGTCTTGTGATCAGAATCAAGGTCTTAGGTGTTTTTGAAAATGTAAATCAAACAAGATTAATCATAAGATGATGTCGAATTTCTATTATTGTCCGCTCTTCTAAAAATTGACCCCAAATTATTGCAATACACACGTGTAGAACAGACAGAATTAAAAGTCAGACATCGCTGTTAGTCACTGTTTAAGCTAATTTAAATGAAAATGAATAATAATTATAAAAATAATGATAAAGACTATGATGATGGTTAAGATATTGATTAAAAGCTTATGTTATAGTAATACAACCTATGTAAACGCCATATGACTCTAAAAGCTTACTTCCGTAAATAGCTTCTATATCATTTACAAATTACAAATTATGACATATTACGTAATATTGAACATGTAGCATTGTTGTGTCTCACTATGCATTCTTGATTATTTCTTCTTTGGCCGCTTTGTTTAATTTATCTGTCGTCATGCATGCAGTTACGTTCCTCGTGTTAATCAAATAGCGCAACTTGATATTTCAATAGTATAAGCCCCGAAGCGTTAATAGGACCTTCATCGTGCACGTGTTTGACGGTACCATATCGGAACTGTTCAAGACAATGAATCAACTCAAGGAATCAACCCAAGCATATTAAGGCGTGGCTCAATTTTTGTTCTCGACCCCTCGTGAAGATAAAACTGTTTTCTTTTTTTTCTTCTACGGCCATGTATCTTAATTCTAAAAGTTACTAAAAACTTTCGGGAAACTTTCTTTTGAGGCATTGAATCGATTAGGGTTGAACTGATGTCACGTGAAACGTGACGTCAGAATTATAGCGGAGCTCCATAGCTAAGGAAATGTGGTAATCTACCCATCCGAGAAAATTTAGCGAGCGAGCGAGCGAGCGATCGTCCGTCCACACCACAGGCATACCAGTGTAAAATAACTCAATCAACAGGTATGGCAACCCAAATGCAACTCAAGGTTTTATTTGGAAGGAAATCATATGGCCGCCCGGACTTTTAGAAAGAAAAAGCAACAACAACGTGTCTTTTTCGGCGTTATTTTTTATGTTTACACTAACATGGATAACAGAGAAAGAGCTAGAGCGAGTTATTGAAAACAAGGGAGACGAATTTCGTAGGAGAAAAACGTGGAAATTCAAAACGGTAGTGAGAAAATGAGAAATGCTAACGGCCAGCAAGGTGAAAATGAGCGGCGGTGAAAAATAAAAGGGAACATGAACACAGGAAACAAAATATTGGGTAAACACACACGACAATTCCTCCCTAAAAATAATGTGTGACAAGGAAGTTTGACGTTTTAGTCGTACAAAACAGCGTTGTAGTCGTGCAAAACAACTGCAAGGGAAAGAAAAAAAAGCGTGCTGCACGTCCCCACCGTGCAAATTTGCTTTTTGCTAATTAGAAGAAAAAGTGTGCCGCACGTGCAATTTGTTTTTTTGCTAATTAGAGCTATTAGTCTTGAAGCCGTTTTCATTGCCGTCTACGTTTAGCATTACACGATTTCATTTTTTTTGTTTTTAAGTATTATTAACTGGAGTTTCGCTTTTAGCCCTGGCTAAATCTATATTTTATTCAAAAGAAAATGCTAGTAAATGGGGTAGGGATGGTTGATTACAACTGAGTGTGAACCATGTGTAAATGTTTATTTTTTGGTACAAAGTTATTCCGCGGGAATGGAGAAAATTTTCTTAATTTCTTCAAAAGCAGGAGCCCATCAATGGGCTCCTGTCAAAAGATATTAACAGATAAAAAGTGTCACGTGACCTGTTTTGCTTAATTGTTCATAAAAATGGGAGTCAACCATTCCAGCCAGATTCATGCGAGGAACCATGAAAGAATAACAAGACTACTGTATTTAATATCTACTGTGTGGCATCTCCCACCCC